GCACAGTTATAAAACTAGGGAATTGGTGACCCCTGGGTTCCTTTTTCAGGTTAGAATTTGTGAGTGCTTCAGTAGAACACTTCTCAAAATTTAATTTTAACCTACAGCCTATGGTAAAATGCAGATGTGATTCAGTGGGCGTTGGAAGATATCTGATTCCACCTGTCTAACATGCTCCAAGGCTGTGAGTCCCAGGCTTACACTTTTAGGTTGCAAGACACTAATATAAACCATCTCTCTGAATTTCCCCAAGACTCCTTTAAAATAGCCATCCTTAGTCCTATTACATCGATAATAGAGTGACCCATGCAGGATCAAATGGATAGAAAATGGCAAAGCAGGGACCCCAATCAAGATCCTTTTATTCTAGTCTCCAAGACCTTTAATGTTCCATTCAGTTCTAAAATACTATAATTAGAAGTTACTGCCACACTCATACAAAGGGAATAGGACCAGGCATAGGATTGGTAAAGACAAGCTGCTAATGGAGTTCAGAAGAATGAAAGATCACTTTACAGGGGAATCTGTTAAGAACTCATAGAAGAAATTACATCAACCTTGAAGGACAGCTAGAACGAAGGTAGGCAGAGATTGAGAGAGGATACAATAGTTAGGTATAATACCACACAATCAGAACATATGGCAGTGCAGAATGAACCTGCAGAGAAGGGCCCCACCTAACAGAACAGGCCTCTTGAACTAAGACAGGTATTTATTACAAGGTCAAAGATGACTCTAAGGTGTTGGACCTTAGAGACTAACAGAATAGAGCAAACTCAAATTTTTAGTATGGCATTGGAAGCCCTTTACCAACTTCCTTCCTCTTCTCAACACAGAGGTTCCCCTTGTCCCTGTTTACCTTCTTCTCCCCCACCACCCCAAGAAATCGAGCCACTCAAAAAGATGTAAGCATTCCAGTTCCCACACTTGTACTTATGCCTTTATGATGCCCACCCCTCCTGTCGGTGCACCTATATCTTGAGTCCATAAGCTCCTCCATAAGATTTACCTCCATCAGTGAAGCCTTTAAGCACTGGTCCCATTTGATCGCTCAGTTCTTCTCATTTGTATGCTCTAGAGACATTTGTTCTCAAGCACTGGGCAATATATAAATATTATTGGCAAAGTCCCTCAGTGTCTGCTTCTCCTTCCTACCAAAAGTTCCCAGAGGAAAGCAATGAGTCACTGCATTTCTTGGGTTTACCCCCATTACTCACATCATGCACTGAACATGGTAGGTATTTCCTCAGTGCGATCTGTACTACTACCTAGTTTTAAGAAGAGGACAAAGGTTGATAAGAAAAAAATTACCTACCCTCTTTAATTTGTTTCTCCTAAGTAGAACTCCTGAGAGAAGCCTTAGGGCCCTTACCTTTGGCCCCATGTGCATCTTCAGAGGCATTCTATAAAATGCCAGTTTATACTGTGTGCCCACAGAAACAAGAGAGTTAATTCTCTCCTTTTGAAATTGTGACTCCCACCCTCCTCGCCTTCCTGTAAATGTTTCCTTTTAAAGAAAGCCATGGTTCACTGCTACTGAAAATTAAAGACAACAGCATAAAGATCAAGGTCCAAGCTGGTGCCGGCGATGACAGAACATTAAAATCACCACTCAAATTTCTCTTTCCTTGAACACTGCCAAAGACTACTAATGGAAAGCCAATCCCCAGAATGCATGCTCATTTCAGATGTTCTTCACTTGCAGCTCTTGGTTCACAAACCATTTGGACTACAATGAACAAATTGGAGGTGACCTCCAGTTGAAATGAAATGGGAAAGACATATCCCTTCAAAATTGTATGTGACTACCCCCCCCAGCCCACTCCTCACCTCCCCCTCCCATCGCAGCATGAAGTACCAAGAAAAAGCAGGAGGGTTCATTAGGCAAAGGTTAATTTGTAAGGTTTAGCAGAGGAGAAATTAATCACTCCCTCCTCCAAGCTACACTCTGGCCTCTCCAGCTATCTCAAGCTTGCTCTTCTCCCTCCTCTTAATTCCAGATTGTGTTTTGGCAATCAGATTGGACCCCCGAGTTCCTTCTGTTTTCTGAATCCACATTTTCAAGACTCTCCTCCTTTCTGACTTCAGTTCCCAATTGCATGTTGGCGTGATGGTTCGGGGTGGTTTTCCTGACATCTGACTACAGTACTCTGGTGGTTCAGCCAGACAGGGATAAGCTCATTCCCCACACGAATGTGGAAAATGTTAAGGGTGTTTTCAGAGCATGTAAAGTATCTCTCATCAGCAACCACCACCGAAGGAGACGACATTTTGCCAACAGAAACCTGTGGTTCGCCCAGAAGAAGATGTTGACCAAGTATATACACAATTGCTACATTATAACCCGAATCAAATGTTCTCACAAGACACTTAAAAGAGAGAGAAAAGACCAGACATGAGGAAGGAGAGAACTTTAGGGGAGTTCTTTTCATTTTTACTTGTTAGTGTATTGGACCCTGAGAAGCATGAAATTAAAACTCTCGAAAAACAGCCTATATCAACTTGCTGTGGTGACTCAAAAGTTGTCGTTTCTCAACTTTGCTGAAACACTTGATTCATGTTGTTCTTGTTTAACCTAATTTGCATTGATTTAATCAGTGCTGGTATGCTTTAAATACATAATAAATTGGGATTCTGCAACTTAGATGACTTAGAATAGCTAAATTTCAATAAAGCTCATTTCAATCTGTTAATGTATACAGTTCTGCCAAGGGGTTTAAAAGCGTAGAAAAGATGCAAACTTGCCACATTAGAGGTGGGAAAGGTTTAAAGATACCATCCAGATGAAATGATTTGCAGGATAATAATGTGAAAAGCAATATATATATCTTAATTACAACCTAGACATATCTTCTACATTTTGAGTAGCATACTTAGAAGAAAACTCACATATAAATGCAGTGAATTTAATTTTATTCTCTTTCCTCCTTGCCAACACTGAACTCTTTTCTGCCTCTCTGTACCAGCTCTACAAATCAAGTGACATCCAAAGTGGGACCTCTTCTTGCCCATTTGGCAGGCTCCATCACCACTTTGCCAAGCCGCCTGCATTAGGAGGATTTTCTTCCTAGCAGCCGTGGGGATTGGGTGGCTTAGACTCACAGTGCTTGCTGAATGGTTGGCCAATGTTTACTCCTGCCTGCCCCCGCCTCCCCCACCACCCTTTAGAGTTTATGGCTCAATCAGCCAGCCTGCTGTCAGGAATAATTGTGTTGGCAAGAGGGGGAAGCACTTGATGGTGAAATTGTTTGTCTGTTAAAGTGTTCCGCAGCACCTTGCAGGTGCCAGGATGAAAACTGCAGGTGCCCAGTCCAGAGTCAGGTAGGAGGCTAGAGTGACAGAGAGGCAACCATCAAGAATGGCAAGGGAAGAACACCACTTGAGTGTGGGACAGCAAAAAACCCATCTGTGGGGTAACAAGCTGTGAGACCTTGGGTAATGAATGGCCTGATATCTTTGTGCCTCAGTCTCATGTGCAAAATTAAGGGGCTTGATTTTCTAACGTCTCTTCTAGCTCCTAGATGACATGTGATGTATAGAATGTCTCGGATTTGTTTTCCTTCCAATTAAATAATACTTCTTGGAGATAAAGAACCAGGGCAGAGCAAAGATGAATTAAAAAAATGTAATAATTCATGCCCCTCTGTTCATAGGACTTTTCCTGAAAAGTACCACCAGTCTTTGGTGACTTTGAACTCCCCTGGCTGGTGCCTTCAGCTTGGATGCTAAGAACCAATCCAGTTACTTGTCCAAAGTCAATCCAGCCTGGGAGCTTTGGTAATCCACCGCCTTCTTATCAAATTGAGTACCACTACAGATAATGCCCACTTACTTTCAATTCCTGAGAGGCAGAGATGATAGGAATTCAAAGAGAGGAGCTGGAGATTCACATTTGATTCCCCCTATCACCTCCTTGGGCATCTCTGTCAAGAAGCTAGGCTTGCCCACACTAACTTCCAGAAGGGTTTCCCTCTGCCATCTCTGAGGATTTTTTTTCTTTTTGTTTTAAACAAATGACCAACAGGTTCCTGACAGTAGCCATACAGACCCTCTCCAAGCCGGTTGGTTGGAACGAGAGAGAGAGCTCATTATAAGAACCCCATCTACAGATGGTTGTGAATGGAAATAATCAGGCAAAGACTTCTTCTCTTCATACTTAGAAGACACAGTTTAGCAACAGTCTCAAAGTTTAATTAGGGTTATGTGTATGGAGGGGGGTAGGCTTTGTTATGGTTTAAACTACCCTTTCTCTGCTTATTCTCTAGCATATTCTCCTAGAGGGTACCAAAGGGTGCTGTAATCACCATGTGCAGCATGTTGAGGTCAGCCCTCCTGGGTGTCATACAGCAGAATCTTTCTTTAATCCACTTGGGACCTTATAGATATCTAGGGGGAATGGTCAAGTCCCTGCAGGATCTCAGGCAAGACTCCCTGCACACAGACATACGTTTCTGACACACTGGTCTCATACCACCAAATCGGGATGGCTTTCCAAATCCACTGGGTTTAGAAACCATTTCCCCATCTACCACTAAAAAGGGCTGGCTGACTGCAGAACTCCAGTGCCTGTAAGGAAAGGGAAAAAATAAAAATCTTAGCCAAGCCCCCACAATCACTGCTTTACTCTATCTTCTCTCAAGTTGCTTTTCTAAAGCAAAGGACCAAATGTTGATTTCTCTACAGATTCCTACGTGTCTCTTACATGTAGACAGCTTTAAAGGGGGGAGGGGGGAACATCCCCAAAAGGAAAGGGGGAGAGAACAGAATCTTTCAGTTTCCTGCTTGGAAATATCTTGTCGTTGATGATGCTAGTCCATATCTCCATCCCCTCTCCCCCTTTTTTGAAATATGGACAAAAAAGCTGAAAGTGTTTTCCGTTTCATCAAGAACATATATTACTTTAGTGGCTCGGTAAAATGTTGGTTTTATGCCCACCCCTTTTCAATCTGCCCATGTCTGAGGTGCTCCGGGAAGACGCACAATCGTGAGCAGCTTACGACACTCAGTGAGCAGTAGGTGCCTGTGCAAGCTCGAGCCGCACACTGCCTGGCGGAGGGAAGGAGCCCGGGCGCCGCTCCCCGCTCCCCGCGCCGCCGCCCGCGCCGCCCGCGCCGCCCGCGCCGCCCGCCGCCCGCACCTCCCCGCAAAGCATGAGCGAGCCCGCTCTCCGCAGCCGCCCCGGGCGCGAATGGCAGGCGGTCTCCGCGGAGTAAAAGGTGGCGCCGGTCAGCGGTCCTTTCCAATGACGGACATTAACCAGACTGTCAAATCCAGGGGAGTCGTGAGCCCCGAGTTTGGAGTTTTTTTCCCCACAACGTCACAGTCCGAACTGCAGAGGGAAAGGACAGCGGCAAGAAGGCGAAGCCCGGCGCCGGCACGTAGTTGGGAAACTTGCGGGTCCTAGAAGTCGCCTCCCCGCCTCGCCAGCCGCCCTTGCAGCCCAGAGCCGAGCAGCAAAGTGAGACATTGTGCGCCTGCCAGATCCGCCGGCCGCGGACCGGGGCTGCCTCGGAAACACAGAGGGGTCTTCTCTCGCCCTGCATATAATTAGCCTGCACACAAAGGGAGCAGCTGAATGGAGGTTGTCACTCTCTGGAAAAGGGTGGGTAAGACACTTTTTAATTAAATTCTTTCCCGAAGATTTTTTTTTTCCTCCCTTTTCTTTGCTGCAGCATCTAACATGGACCAAATCACCATCTCTTTGATCTTTCCGTGGCTGTGAACTTTCCATGCTGCCCAGCTTTCTGCATGCTTAGAGGTGAACGTGTGGCTTTGGGGAGGGGGGGTCCTTCTTTATTTCAATATATTTATTTGATTTTGCCCTTTTCTCCCCCTCCCTTGGAATAAAATATGATGTAGATTTCTGACCGAGCGCTTCCAATGGACATTCTCCAGCCTCTCTGGAAAGATTCTCGCTAATGGATTTCCTGCTGCTCGGTCTCTGTCTATACTGGCTGCTGAGGAGGCCCTCGGGGGTGGTCTTGTGTCTGCTGGGGGCCTGCTTTCAGATGCTGCCCGCCGCCCCCAGCGGGTGCCCGCAGCTGTGCCGGTGCGAGGGGCGGCTGCTGTACTGCGAGGCGCTCAACCTCACCGAGGCGCCCCACAACCTGTCCGGCCTGCTGGGCTTGTCCCTGCGCTACAACAGCCTCTCGGAGCTGCGCGCCGGCCAGTTCACGGGGTTAATGCAGCTCACGTGGCTCTATCTGGATCACAATCACATCTGCTCCGTGCAGGGGGACGCCTTTCAGAAACTGCGCCGAGTTAAGGAACTCACACTGAGTTCCAACCAGATCACCCAACTGGCCAACACCACCTTCCGGCCCATGCCCAACCTGCGCAGCGTGGACCTCTCGTACAACAAGCTGCAGGCGCTGGCGCCCGACCTCTTCCATGGGCTGCGGAAGCTCACCACGCTGCACATGCGGTCCAACGCTATCCAGTTCGTGCCCGTGCGCATCTTCCAGGACTGCCGCAGCCTCAAGTTTCTTGACATCGGATACAATCAGCTCAAGAGTCTGGCGCGCAACTCTTTCGCCGGCTTGTTCAAGCTCACCGAGCTGCACCTGGAGCACAACGACTTGGTCAAGGTGAACTTCGCCCACTTCCCGCGCCTCATCTCCCTGCATTCCCTCTGCCTGAAGAGGAACAAGGTGGCCATTGTGGTTAGCTCGCTAGACTGGGTTTGGAACCTGGAGAAAATGGACCTGTCGGGCAACGAGATCGAGTACATGGAGCCCCATGTGTTCGAGACCGTGCCGCACCTACAGTCTCTGCAGCTGGACTCCAACCGCCTCACCTACATCGAGCCCCGGATCCTCAACTCCTGGAAATCGCTGACGAGCATCACCCTGGCCGGGAACCTATGGGACTGTGGGCGCAACGTGTGCGCCCTGGCCTCATGGCTCAGCAGCTTCCAGGGGCGCTACGATGGCAACTTGCAGTGCGCCAGCCCGGAGTACGCGCAGGGCGAGGACGTCCTAGACGCTGTGTACGCCTTCCACCTGTGCGAGGATGGGGCCGAGCCCACCAGCGGCCACCTGCTCTCAGCCGTCACCAACCACAGTGACCTGGGGCTCCCGGCCAGCCCGGCCACCACGCTCGCTGACGGCAGGGAGGGGCAGCTCGACGGCACGCACGAGCCGGCTACTGTGGCGCTCCCGGGCGGCGAGCACGCCGAGAACGCCGTGCAGATCCACAAGGTGGTCACAGGCACCATGGCCCTCATCTTCTCCTTCCTCATTGTGGTCCTGGTGCTCTATGTCTCCTGGAAGTGTTTCCCAGCCAGCCTCAGGCAGCTCAGACAGTGCTTTGTCACGCAGCGCAGGAAGCAAAAGCAGAAACAGACCATGCATCAGATGGCTGCCATGTCTGCCCAGGAATACTACGTTGATTACAAACCGAACCACATTGAAGGAGCCCTGGTGATCATCAATGAGTATGGATCCTGTACCTGCCACCAGCAGCCCGCAAGGGAATGCGAGGTGTGATTGTCCCAGTGGCTCTCAACCCGTGCGCTACCAAATACGCCTGGGCACCTGGGGCGACGGCCAGCGCCAGGCTGGGGTCTCTCCTTGTCTGTGCTCTGAGATGCTCCTTGACTGAAACTGTACGGGGATATCTCCCAGAGACTTGACATTTTAGCTTTATTGTGTCTTAAAAACAAAAACGAAATAAAACACAACAAAAACCCCACCCCACAACCTTCAGGACAGTCTAAAATTTCATATGAGAACTCCTTCCTTCCTTTGAAGATCTGTCCATATTCAGGAATCTGAGAGTGTAAAAAGGTACCAATCATTGATTTTTTTTTTTGTAAACTAAAATGTTTAAAATAAAATAGCATTTACAGTTTTTACAGACTGGTGTAACCTAAATGAACTGTTACCTGCGTTAAAAGAGAAGCAACAGTTAAAATGTCCTTCGTGTGTGTGTGTGTGTGTGTGTGTGTGTGTGTGTGTGTTGGGGAGGGGGGAGAGGGTGCAGTGGCCAGAGAGAAAATCCAGAAATTCAGGAGCATAGCAGTTAGACTCAATTTGAAATATTAAGAAGGACAAATAAAGCTCCTCAGGTTGATTTAGCCCCTCATGACTAATGACTGGGGGGAAAAGCAAGACCTTTCATATTATTTTTAGGGGAGTGCAATACAATCACTGGAACGCAAGTGAAAGGGAACTGAAGGACTGAGCCTCACTGCCCAGCCCTGAAGGCAGAGATCATTACAAATAGCTTTTAAAAGGCAGTGTCAGACTGCCAGTGTTTGTCCTGTGAACAAGAAACATCTTTGCACTTAATACAACCATCTTTCAAATCAATTCAAAATCTCACCCCCAAATGCCACTAGCTCCTAATTCTCCTATGCCTTTGATTCACCAGAGTGGTAGCATTTGTGCCCTTTGCCGGACTCTCCCAAGTGAAAGAGAGACCCTCAACTCCTGTTCACCACAATCTGACTGAGGGGAAGAAGGGGAATAAGGTAGAATACAAGTGTTGGCAGATGAAAGCTGTGCTTCCCCGGAGCAAGTTGCTAAGACTGCAGCAAGCTTGGGCTCTGGGCAGTGACAGCACACTCCTAGTTACTTTGGGGAAGAGTGAGAAAAATCCTACCTCAGGTTGAATGCCTAGTGGGTAATGACTGATAGCAGGAGACTTTAGGGGCAGACTTGATACAGAAGTGATGGGGGTGGGGTGGGACAGAGGAAGATCACCATTTGATCCTGTGTTCAAGTATTACGGAGATGGGAATAATTTGTTAGCCCGGAACAGAAAAGCTGCCTCTTTCCAGATTGCCCTTTTGTATAATGTCTGCGTTCCCTGTGTTGTTTTACTTTTTTTTCTGTATTGGGATCAATGATTGCTTCTTCCCACCCTTCACAGGTTTTCCTGTCCATCATTGAGATTTAGGTTGTTTACTGAACTAAATTAAAGAGTAGTAGCAGTTGGTGGGTGCGGGGCAGGGAAGGAGGGAGGAGTGCTGTGTGTTGGATGAGAGGGGTCGTTCACTCGCTAACACTTTAAGCAAATATATGATGAAAATAAATGGAGATGGAGAGCAGATGGTGAATACTGAACCAATACCCATGCCCAGAAGTCTTTTTCAAACTCAGGTGCTTACCCTTCTGAAAGATTCTACAGCCTGACATGTTTCTTTCTTTCTTTTTCTTTTTCCTTCCTTCCTTCTTTCCTTTCTTTTTCTTTCTTTCTTTCTCTTTCTTTCTTTCCTTTTCTTTTCTTCCTTTCTTATCTTTTTTTTTTTTAAGCGAGACATTGAAATAGTGGGGAGAGGGAAGGGGGAAACACACACACACACACACACACACACACACACACACACACGCCACCATCTCCCAAATGCAAATGCCTCTAGCCACCTACCTAAAGAGGAAAAATCAGCTGTCTGAAATGCAGAATATCATCACCAGGAGGTTTACTTAGGCTGAGGATTGGTAGTAGGTTTCTCTTCGACCTATGGAGAAATCCATTTGCCTAATAATACTGCATGTAAGGGGCCCTTTCTACAGAAATGCTTTGCAAATGTCTCTAAGATGTTAAGCCTTGGGAGTAGAGTTTAACAACTCTCTCTCTCTCTCTCTCTCTCTCACACACACACACACACACACACACAGGCATGCATATGCACCCCAGCTCATTTTTCCTGACCAGAAAATTTCATCTTTGTTTCTAATTAAAACATGACATTATGACATACACCATGCTCATATCATCTATTTAGGTGAGAAGAGAGGTGCTTTATTTGATAACTTTGAGGAGAAGGTTTTGGATTCAGACTATGCATGACAATTCGGGGCTGCCGTTTTAAATATCATATCCCTCAGGGGGCAGGGGTAGTAGGAACAAGGTTTGCTTAGGAGTGTGCCATCTGTAATTGAACTCCAATAAAGAGATCTCCTCTAGAAGACAACATACCCTTTTTTGGAAAAAAAAAAAATTCCCAAATTGTGGCAATGGAAGGAAAGTTCCTTGGATTCCATTGACTTAATCTCATAGGAAGACTACTGGAATCCAGTGCCAAAGGCTACTTCTAGCTTGGTGCATTAAAGCCTGTGTTGGTGTGCTTATAGGGAAAGCTTCCAAAAGCAAATCCTTTCTGGCAAACATCAGAACCACAGGTCCCCCCTACCCCCAGAAATATAGATATTGGAGACTGTAGAGTTTATTTCCTATACCCAAGACCTTTTTTTCTTTCATTCTTCTTTTTTCATTGTGGTCATGAGAAATAGCCAGAGAATAATTGTGCCTTTTTTTATGCTCCTGGCAACCCCCACCCCCAAATGACTAAATATCACATGTAGAATTTAAGTGCATGTACATCTAATGAAAAATCATTGTAAAGAGGAATCTGCAATCTGGCAACTGGAGAGAAAATGCTGGCCATAGAAAACTGTGTTCTTACTCTGTGTGTCTGTATATCTCTGCATTGTGTGTCTTTGTAGCAAATATGTTCTCTACACAAACAGGAATGCAGCTCACACCATTTTATGCTCATGCACCTCCTGCTTTAGAGAAGGACAGGGGGCAGGAAAAGGCAAGAATAAGGGAAATCTGTAGTTTTAACTAAGGTTTTGTGACACTTGAAATCTCTTCTTTCACAAATTAATCTTTAAGCTTCAAGAAACTTGCTCTGACCCCTCTAAGGGAACTACTGAGCATTTAAAAGAGAATCTACTCTTTAAAGGTGTAGCACCTTTTTTATGTGTTCTTCCCACAGAGGGTGCTAATATCGTTATCCTGTGCTATCTGAAAAGAATTTAAGGCCACAGTTCACGTCTCTTCCTGGCCATTGTGATGGATTAACCCCCCATTTGTAGTACCTTCCCAGAGGATCAAAGTTCAGCCATGGCACAGAGGTTTTTTTCAAATATTTGTATGGAAAAAAAGTCCTTTCTGATGACAAATGACACTCTCACACCAGTCTTAGCCCCAAGTAGTCTTTTAGGTTGTGCCAGAGGGAGCAGGTTAAAGAATACCTATCCTTTGGCCTTCATTTAGAGAAAAAGCAGCACCTGATGCTCAGACTTTAGCCGTGATGGTTAAGAACACCAGTCCAAAGTACACCCCATCCTCCCAAGACTGCAAGTTGCCATCACAAAGAAGATTATTCCAGTAAAAGGAAACCTTTTTAAAAATCCATTTTTTATATTCTCCCAAGTATTAGAGTATTCTAATTTTATAGAATCTATATAATCTATTTTATATTCTCCCAAGTATTAGAGCCTCAAGTATTAGAGTACCTTACATTTCCTCCCTGCCTGCAGGAAGGCAGACATTTGGTATGACTTAGCAACAACAACACATTTCTGAGTATGTGTAAATAATTAGAGGGGCAAATGCCACGTGTTTTTCCTCTCCAGTTTCGTAAGCAACTGCACACAGATCACTGGAGGGCTCAGGGGCTGCCTGTGTTTTTGGTTATGTTAATTGACTTGTTATCAAGTTTGGTGCCTAGTCTATCTGGCATCACCACATAGAAGGGGACACGGTGGGTCACATATTCTGGTAAAATAAAAGGCATCAGATACCTCTCTCCCAGAGAACATTATCAAAAGGCCAGAATGCATATCTTTTTTGGAGAATGGGTATTATAATGTTGCAGGGTAGTCAAAATAAGCATCCATTATCTCCTCTAGATAGGCGGTTATGTTGGTTGATTTGGGTTTTGTCATTGATGGAATGACAAATACCGAGGAGTTAGCAGGAATGTGACTATTAAACAGGCGCCTGAAATACATTTTAAAAGAAGTTTAGGGACACACACACACATTTTACATACATAACACAGATGTAACCATACACACATGCATATATTGCTGTATTCATATAACCACATGTAGAGCCACACACACGATTAAATGACATAACTACTTTCCAGCATTAATTGCCCTCCTACTTTCTTCTTCCATGATCAAACTGTTCCTCAAGAAAGGACCTGACAAAATCAATCACAATTAAAGTGTAAAGGTGGCTGATGGTATTTTCAGGCATCAGGTAAGGACTTGGTAGATGCTTTGCAGGCTGGGGGACCTTTTGAGCTCCTCTTGCTGTAGGAGAGTGTAAGCCTGCTACCTACTGGTAAGAGCCAGCAAATGGCAATGCATTCTTTTGATAGTAACTTCCTAACTAATAAGTTCCATCTCAAGGTTAGGAAACATATTTCTCCATTAGAAATATTCTACTCTGATTTTTTCCCAGGGATCCAAGCAGCAAAATTCTTAACTTGTGACTGGGCACCATCTTCTGGCCTTCCTCAGTAGACCCAGTTTCCAAAGGTCTCTGGTTTTTTTGCTCAGAGGCTATGACCTGGCCACCACATCCTTAAGGTTTAGTCAGAGATGTAAACGAGATGGAGGGACTCAAATTTATTGAGTATGGGAGCCTTTGCCTAAATCCTGATATGTGAGCCATACAGGAAGAACCTGAGGTGTAGAGACGTTCAGTGCTTTGTGCGAAGTCACACAGCTCGTAATAGGGAGGAGCACTGGTATTCAGGTCCGGTGGCCTTTTCACTATACCCTATCTCTTGTTTCCTTGAATAGTTGCTCCCTTCCACCCCTCCATCCAGCAGAGCCTAGGATGACCTGGACACAGGGCACATGGTCACATGTTCTTGTTGGATGACGTAGGTACAACGTTTGAGTCTAAGAATTTTCACGATGACTTCGCTTGCTCTCGCCTCTGTTAACCGGCTAATGCAGGACTCTGCCAACAGAGGATACCTCTCCCAGGCTTCCAGAAACAGAACCGTCCAGTTAATCATCCAGTCCAAACTCTATCCAGAGGATTTTAGACACAGGGAGTAAGGTATAGGCATCCACCCATATATTTTTGTTGAGGATTTGT